TGATAATGTTATTATTGATTATATCAGTACTTTCATTATATTCATTTATGATGATGCTTATCATCATCATTGTAATCTTTATTCGTATTCTCATTACCAATATGTTAATTAAAACTATCAACATCCTCTTAATCATCAATAGTAGTGGTAATAATATTGCCTTTAGTATTAGCAACAATATTGACATTATATCACTAATATCATTATGATTACCTTTACTACCATGGTCATTGCTTACCACCAAAATCATCCTTATGGCCATCATTATTCTGATGATTATCAACATGACTGATAATTACCAGAATGACCGTCTTTTATTCCCACCTTGATAATGACCTCTCCAATGCCCTCCAAACTAACGCATGTTCCGTTTCCTTTCCCTCAGAGGGAGCGCTGCGGGTACTTCCTCCTCGACACCGTGTTCACCGTGGTTGTAACCGGGTCTCTGGTTGTCTTCGTATGGCGCGGGGCCTGGGTGTTCCTGGACGCTGTGCTTTTCCCTACCATGCCGCGCTACTCGGCTATGGGCTCGATGGTAAGGCGGAAGGGTCGGTGAGTGGGGCGATGGGAGGGAAGGGTGTGGGGGTGGGGGGTGGGAGGGCTGGGGCTGGGTTTGTGTTGGGTGTGTGTGTTTGTGAGTGTGTTTGTTGGAAGTGTGTGTTTGTGTGTGAGTGTGTGGTTGTATGTGTTGAGTGTGTTAGATATGTATATATGTGTATTGGGTGTTTATTTGAGTGTGTATTTGTGTGCCCGTGTCTGTGTGTGTGTGTGTTTTCGTCTGTGTGCACGTTTGGTCAACCGTAAATAAAACAACGAAAGGAAAAACAAAATGATACATGATTATACAAATTCGCGTATCTTCTTGTTCTCCCCCCAGTTGCCTTCTTTTCAATTTGTTAAGCCTGAATCATGCACACGTGAACATCAACCAATTGTACACGCAGGGGCCGTTACAAATATCGGAGTTTTATTGCAAAAAGAAAAAAATAAATAAATACACAAACGAGGATTACTGAAAGGGCAGACAAGCGTTTCAAAATCCCCCTGGATTGTATCTCCGGGTCTTGTGATGAAACCCAAGAGGATTTTAAAACTGTTTTATGAACTTTCAATAAACATAGTTTATGTATATGTGTATGTTTTTGCTCTTGCTTTTGTTTTATTTCAACTATAATATCATTATAGTATTACAATGCTACTACATGTTATTAAGAAACCCAGTTCATAGAAACTTGCATTCCTAGGACTCGCACTTGTAGATACTTCCGTTACGATACAGTAGGTTTCAATCTACGATGAAAGAGAGAGAGAGAGAGAGAGAGAGAGAGAGAGAGAGAGAGAGAGAGAGAGAGAGAGAGAGAGAGAGAGAGAGAGAGAGAGAGAGAGAGAGAGAGAGAAGTCACAAGGAAAAGAGAGGGGAGAGAAATTAGGAAAGAGAATAAGAGAGAGAGAAAAGAGAGAGAGAGAGAGAGAGAGAGAGAGAGAGAGAGAGAGAGAGAGAGAGAGGAGAGAGAGAGAGAGAGAGAGAGAGAGAGAGAGAGAGAGAGAGAGAGAGAGAGAGAGAGAGAGAGAGAGAGAAGAGAGAGAGAGAGAGAGAGAGAGAGAGAGAGAGAGAGAGAGAGAGAGAGAGAGAGAATCTCCACTCGTTCCTCTTCACCTAAAACCGCTGCCCTCTCACCTCCTCAGGTGTTGGGCATGACGGTGACTCTGCTGGTGTTCGCCGCACAGCTGGTGCTGATCCCGTACCTCCGCCACGTGAGGAAGGGCGTCGGCAAGATCGTGGTCGAGGACGCCTACCACACCATCTGCTTCGTTGGCGACATCAACATGTGGAGGGGCGTGTGGATGCTCCTCAACATTTACCTCCTTCCAGGTGAGGTGGCGAAGCGAGGGGCGTGCGCGTGGTGTTAGAGTCACTGTTAATATTGTTGTTGTTCCTATTATTATCATCTTCAGTGTCCTATCATTATTATTAGTAGTAGGGTTATTATTGTTGTTGTTATCAATGTAATTCTCATGTCACTATGATTATAATCATTATCTTTACAAACAATAAGAATAACATCAATCCGATAATGATGATCATAATTATGATTACTGTTGTTATTATCACTTTTACCACTATAATTGCTATCATTATAAAATCATTGTTATTGATAGTTCTATGTTCAGAATTAGAAAAAAAATCTTATCATTATCATTATCTTTATCATCATCATTACCAATACCACTATTATTATGATCATTATTGTTTCTTAAATCATTATTACTATCATTATTATCCTTATCATTATCAATAACATTGTTATAATTATCATTATTACTGTAGCCCCTGTTATTGATAGAATGTTTTTTCTCATGTATTTACTAGGCTCTGTCATTTTTTGTTTTGATTTTTTTTCGCACACATGAGAGGGTAAACAAGGCTTATGGGACTTGGGGGGGAGGAAGAAAGAGAGAGACAAGTGTATGTGTGTGTAAGATAGATAGATAGATAGAT